AGTCCTAATGGTAATGATAATTTTACAATTACTGTCCATTGGATTGACCATGAATGGAACATGCAAAAACGAATATTAGGATATAAATATGTTGAAGAAACTAAAATCGGTGCTTATATGGCAACAAAAATAGGCTCTATTTTACAATTTTATGGAATATGTGATAAAATAATGAGTGTCACTTTAGATAATGCTTCTAATAATTTAAAAGCAATTGATTATTTAAAATGTAGACTTTGTCCAATTGATAATGATTCTTTTCATATTAAGTGTGCCGCACATGTGTATAATTTGATAGTAAAAGATGGTATTTCTCAATTTGGAATTTCTTGTGAAAAAATTAGACTTGCTTGTAATTGAATTTTTAAAGCTAAAATAAAAGCTAGAATTACAGAATTTAAAAATCCTTATAAAGAATGTGGACTTGAATATAGAAAAGTTCCAAAAGAAGTATGCACTAGATGGAATTCTTTATTTGAAATGCTTCAAGTTGCTTATATTTATCAAGAGCCGGTACAATTAGTTTTTAATGCTCATAATGCGGACCCGAATTTGAGAATTGGCTATGAAGATTGGGAAAATACAAAATAACTTATTGAATTTTTAAGTGTTTTTTATAAAGTAACAAATGCTGCTTTTGGTCAATATTATCCAACTATTTCTTCTGTTTAGTAAATATTTGTGCTATTTCATCTGAATTTGCAAAATATAAAAGAAAAGATCGATTTGAAGATTCCATTGCTTTTATGATTGAAAAATTCAAAAAATAATTTTTCCCTATTCCTCAAATCTATTTGACTGCTACTACTTTCAACCCAAATTACAAATTAAAAGGTGTTGAAAGAATAGTTGAAAAGATTTATGCAAATTTAGAAATTAAAGATGAGGAAACTCCTAGTGTTGAAGATTGTAAAAGTAGCATATATATAAAAGCTAGAGAGTTATATAATACATATAAATCTATGGAAAAAAATATTTCAATAGTTGAACCTCCATCTTGTAAACCTAGAAGCGATGATACGGATGATTGGATGGATGATTATCTTGAACTTGAATCATCTACTAATAATGATTTTGATTTATATTTCAATCAGGCACGGGAAAAGATTAGGCATGAAGAAGGACAACTTCAAGCTCCAATATTAGTATGGTGGAAGAATCGTGAAAATCAATTTTCGACCCTTGCTAGGATTGTTCGAGATGTGCTAGCGATTCAAGCATCATCGGTCGCTTCGGAGCAAGCCTTTAGTGCGGCGAGATTTATGATTGGAGATCATCAATATTCATTAGCAAAGGATAGTTTGGAAATATCGGTGTTGTTTCGAGATTGGGTCAATGCTGAAAGAAGAAATACCGGACTACCACAATTAAATAGCTAAATAGAAGACGAAATAGATGAAATATTTGGTGATAATAGTGATGATGGTATGGAAGCAATGGAAGAAGAACGACAAATACAAGTTCCAAAAATGTTTCTTTTGAAATGATACAAAAGTTACGAAAAGATTTTAAAAAGAGTTTCAATTGTTAGTACAATAATTAATATTCAATACCTAGATTATGTACTCTTTGTCTCTTTCTAATATTTGTATTGTACAATTTATTTATTTGAATAAATATACGGCTATTCGCCTTGATTTTCTTTTAAAATAGTCTCTTATATTTAATCCAAGTCATTTTAGAAATTTAATTTTCAACTATTTTAATATTAGTTTAAAGTTTAAACTTTAATATAAAATTAAATTTTAAGGTTTAAACTTTAAATTCAATATAAACTTTAAACTTTAAACTTTAAAGTCAATTTTAAACTTTAAATTCAATATAAAGTTATAAACTTTAAAATTTAAAGTCAATTTTAAACTTTAAACTTTAAAGTTTAAACTTAAATTCAATTGAAACTTTAAAGTTTAAAGTTTTAAATTGAAGTTTTTTAATAATATAATTTTATTAATTAATAATATAATTTTATATAATAATTAAAGTTGATAAAAAATAAATAAAAAATTACCGGTACACAATGATCCGGTAAGAACCGATTTCGGTCCGGTCCAAATCGGTTCCAATCCGGTAACTAAGGGACCGGACGGAACCTCTGGAAATTTCCGGTAAAACCGGTTCCGGTAACGAAATCCGGTAACGAGGACCGGTTCCGATAAAACTGGTCATGTTGATCCGGTCTTGTCCGTTTGCCAGCCTTAGATACATATGAATATACTTGTATGATACTCATGTATCTAAGTGTTTAGTTGGTTGGATACATTATATATTGATAATATATACGTCAAATTAATGAATTTATTATTTTAAGAGTAATAAAATGAAACTAATTAAAATGTAACCAAGATATACATGTTTTTGTCTTTTATTAATAATATAATAAAATAAAATTAATTAAACATAAATATAATCCTTGATTTTCGCCTTATATTAAGGAATTTAATTAATTTAAATTTTCAGAATTAATTGTCCATGTATTTTGAAAATCCTCAATAACTCCTTTAATTAAGGAAATCTGTTACAACCAATTACTTTAAATAAATAAAATATGTATCTCAATTTTAAAATTTGACAAATACATGTATCTCACAGAATCAGAGTCATATCCTAAGCACGAAATATAGTAGACGAAGTAATATTTGAAACTATCGAAAATCTAAGTAATTAGGACTTAAATGATTTACATATATACAATAAAGTAATTAGTTTATAATAAATATAGTCATGTTTTTTATATATTCCACCTATACATAAGCTATACACTGATTGTACATCATGATAGACTCAAAAGTTGAATACTCCCTCCATTTCAAATTAATTAAATTATTGAGGTGTTTGACACCCTTTAAGAAAAGAAGATTCAAACTTAAATTAGGTATAATTTTTCATTTTTACCTTTATTAATTATTATCAAATTTATGATTAAAATAACTAAACATTAATTAATAACTAATTCCAATCCTAACTAATGAAAAGTAAAATTAGAAAACATTCTAAAAGTAATCTTGAAAATTGAACAATTAAATTAATTTGAAAAATGAAAAATGTCTCTACAATTCAATTAATTTGAAATGGAGGAAATGGAGGAAGTATAATTTAACTATATATGAAATACACAGTGACTATTCACTCTCGATCAACTAAAAATCACCTCTAAACAATCTCAAATTTTAAATATGAAAAACTCTTAATGTTTAGATATATAATTCGCGCGAAACGACGTCAAATATTTTTAAAAAAAAAATAAACAACAAAGAAGAAGAAAAAGAAGTACAAACAAACGAAGAAGACGAGGCAGGAAAAGAAGAAAAAGGAAGAGGAAGGAAGGAAGGAAGGAAGGAAGAAGAAAAAAAAGAAGTCAAAGAGGAAGTTTAGACCAATTCCATCCATTCCATGGTGGCTATTCAAAGTTAAAACACTAATAAACATACTTCATCTAGTCCAACAATCAATCACTTGACCAACAAACACAAGAAAAACAACTATGCCTTGCTCACAAACTAGTTGTGCTCGGTTATGTAAATTCACAACATAAAAAACAATCAATTAAGCTACCATGCTAAGATTCTCCAAAAATGTTGTCGTATCCATGACAGACCCTCCAAAAATACACTATCTAGAAGAACCAACACGCACCTTGCAACATTTATGAAAGATGTTGAGAACACAACTTCTGTATGTTGGCAGAACTTGTATTCTCTCTGGTTTTATCTAGATATCATAGCCTATTTCATCATAGCCATAGGGTCTTCCGCAAGAAAATCTGAAGTGCCATCTTCTATTTACATTACGGCATATCTATGCTGAAGACCTTAAACACTCTTTCACTCATTTTTCATGGCTTAGCAGCATAAAACACTATGTTTCCATTGTACTTAGCGCTCTTCAAACATAGAATTTTGAGGTGCCTCATATAGTAGCTACTTATGTCAGTGATTCTTTTAGCAGGTAAGGGATATAAGCATTCCATTAGTTATATATCAAGGTTCCAACAAAAATACTTATATGCATAAAAACGAGCAAATATTGGCAAAACACCCAATCTAACAGAAATCAAAATGCACAGAGGATTAGATTCTAGAAGCTTAGTACTAAACAGTCTAGTGGTGTTTAGCCATGTGTTCTAGTTGATAGAGCTAATAGCTACTAGTGTAGATCGTGTGTATATCAACCATATAAATCCATTCAACAAATAACCTCTCAAATAAACCAAACAATGCAGACTCAACCAAACAGGATTCTCAAGCTATTCAGTTCAATAATCTGAAATTATTCCCGAATCCATTGTTCAGGACCAAAAATTGATTGTGTGGAATATAATTAGATACTATCTCTTCCTCACATTCTTATAGACGATGAATCCCCAAAAAGAGAGTCCTCGTTAGCATCTGATAAAGTATCATGAACAAGGAGCAAATAAACTATAGCACAATTCACCAAGTAGGCAGCAAGATACGCGACCACCGTTCTTGACTCTTGCACCTGTCCCTAATTTCAGGAATTTTACCCAACTTAACAACAGCATTCAAGTTCTCCAAGAGCCGTAGAAGGAAAATCACAAACATAAAAGTTCTACATTGACTTATCCTTTCACTAGTTCGTCAGAGTAAAAGAACTTCAAAATGCAACATACATGATATGCTAAAAGTTAAATTTTTGTATAAATCAAACCTGATATTTATGAGGAGACACCATGTGATTTCCATCAACTAATTCAAATCAATAGGTTCATTGCCAACCCCATGACAATCCAGCTAAAAATAATCTGTTAGAGAACAGCAAAAGAGAAAAAAAAAAAACGCAGTGGAAAGCCCCGTGCACTAAAGCTCCCACTATGCAGCTGGACCACAAGGGTCTACTGTACGCAGTCTTACCAACTGCAAGAGGCAATTTACACCGTTCGAATCCATGACCTCCTGGTAACACAGGAGCAACTTTACCAATACTATAGCAACTAAAATATAGAAACATGAAACAAATTGACTGATACATAACAGATCATATGAAAGAGAACAGCTAACATAACATTAGAAAGTTGATCAAAACATTGTAACTCCTACATATGAAAATCAAAAGCAAAATTCTAAAATCAACTGCTAATAAGCGTCAAATCGACAAATATATAACCCAAGCTACTGCATAAAAAGAGAGATTATCGATTTGGTAACGAAGAGAAAAAAAAGCTGAAACTGTAATTTCACATCGGGTTTTTCAGACCGGGCTGAGAAGTTGGGAGAGCGAGGGCTTGGGTTCAGAGTTCATGCCGAGGATGATGACAAGGGGAATAAAGCCGTAGTGGGTGATTACTTTGGCCTTCTTCGCGGTCCATGTGCTCCAGTCCTTGACAAAAGTGTACACTGCCGTCACAGCTCCACCGTCCTCATCGGCGACGGCGGCGAACTTCTTCGTGTTCTTTCCTTTGGCCTTCAGCATAACCTTGGGTGCCATCTTCTGTTGCGTTCTGCTGGACAAAAACCCTAGAAACAATGTTGATTATATTTGAGTATATAGTCGAAATAGTTTTTAATTTATGAAAAATAGAGTAAATATTTTAATTCCTTATATTTATCATGTTATTGATGTTTTCTTAATGTGTAAAAAAAATAATTTATTTTAGTTCTTCAAGTAATACCACAAATTAAAATAGCTCTTACTGTATGAAAGAGGTGATAACTTTAATCTAAATTTTAAAGGCTCGTTTGATATGAATGGCAAAAGATGATTAATTTTGATAAATTGGGATAAAAAATTTGTGGGATAATTTAATTTTTGGATTAAATATTTCAAAATTATAATGATATTTCTTATTTCATATTAAGTATTAAGATAACAAACCTATAATAGTTAATCTTGAAATAATTAATCTTAAAATAGCTTATAACGGGCCTTAAAAATGACAATGTAAGTAAAAAAATTCAATAAGTTTAACTAGTTACTCACGCAAAGAAAGTAAAGACTACATTTTTCGTGTGACATAATTTTAATTATAGTTAGGGGTGTTCATGGGTTGGTTTGGATTGGTTATTGGTTAAAATCAAAACAAAATCAACTTAATTGGTTTTTAAATTATCAAAACATAACCAAACCAAATATAATATACATTTATCGATTTGGTGGTTATCGATTTCAGTTTGGTTTGGTTCGGTTATTCGGTTATTAACCATACACAAAACTAAAAGAAACAATTCATTCAAAATGTGAAAAAAGTGACAACAATCCATTCAAAACGAAAAATAGTTAGAATGACTTAAATTACTGAACTTTCTATCACTAAATTTACTATTAATAAAGCTTGAAAATTCACTATATTGGCCTAGAAGGAAGAGACAATAACATTTTAACTCCCACAAAGAATTGTCATAGACACTTATATACATGAAATCAATAAGATAAATGTTTCATCTTGGGCATTTTTGTTTTCAATAAGTAAATTATAAAGAAATTTTAATGAAAATATGTATAAGATCTTTAAAATTGTTTATAAAAACAATATATTAAGTATGTATATTAATAAAATATATGTATATAATTCATCGGTTCGGTTCGATTATTTCTTCGGTTTTTTTTTAATAAAATCATAACCAAATCAAATACTATCGATTTTCAAAAATCTAAAACCAAACCCAAATAAAATTAATTTTATTTTGGTTCGATTTTTTGGTTTGGATCGATTTTTATCCAAACCGCGAACACCCATAATTATAGTAGTAAGAATAGTGGTTCAACTTAAGTAAAAATTTCCACTTGCACAAACACTTTTTAGGTTTAAATTAAGGGCGTGTCCACTATGAAGAATAGTTTTTTTTAAAAATATTTTGAAAATAAGTAAGATTTGTACGGATTTTCTTTCGTTGGTATGTAAATAAAATATATTATCCAAAAAATATTTCCATATGATCTAGACCAAGAGAGTAGGAAGTGGGGGTGTGGGTTATGGAGGTTAGGTTGAAGATGATGTGTGTTGGATGGTAGAAAATACATAATCAGATGGAATATCACTTGTGAAACTTGTTTCCCATACTTCTATTTGGGGATGTCATTTTTCTCATTTTTACTTATTTTCCTAGAGAAAATATTTTATAAAATAAGCTCAAATTTTGAAACATAAGTTCCACGTATCATAAGAACAACATTTAATCATCAATTGATAAAATAACAATCAAATCTAACAAATTCATTTAGCACTTTTTGCATGTATGACAGTACTCAGTTATATATTGTAATGATCTGATTCCGTCGATAAGGAAAAGCCAATGGAAAAAGAATTGGACCAGAAAAACTTTAAAATAGTAACTTGAAATTTCCTAGCCTAGTCCAGATTTGAACGAAATTAGAGTCAGGCGAGTCTAGGGAAATCTGGTAATGAATGAGAAGTGTAATAATGAAATTGATTGCATGAATAGATAGCTAAGACGTTAAGGAACCCGTACGACTTTACAGAATTGAATTCAGGCGAGTAGAACTCCCGAAACTGATTTTAGCGTAAACGAGTATTTTCTGAGTGTTATAGGATGAAGGTGTGTTGTGGAATGGGGGTTTGAAGCTCTTAATTTAGCTCTCTGTTTTCGTGCAAGCCGCTAGGGCGAAATTATTCCCGCCAGGGCGAGGACGTTGTAGCGGGATGAGGTCCGTTATGGCGGGACAGTCGCGATTTAAGTCGGAAATAAATCTCAAAATCATTTTATTCTGCAAGTTTCGACTTTGAGAGCTAGGAGACGATCCCATGTAAGTTCTTGACCGTTTTCACCATTTTTTAGGCTAAAGGTAAGGTTTTACTCCCCAAATCTATGTTTTGATCCATAGAATGTAAATTCGTAAGTGATTATCGATGGGGAAGGGCTTTGATTTGGAAATTATGGTGGAAAAAGCCCTAATATGGGTATGGGGATTAAGAGTTTGATCTAGGGTTGATATTATTGGATTAGAATCCGGGCAATTGGGTCTCGTTTATTGATTCTTGCGTCAATTGTATGTTTTTAGACCACGAACAAGCGGGAAAAATCCGAAAAGGGAAGATTCAAGTGTCTTAGGGGATTCAAGCTTGGATTCGAGGTAGGTGGTGGTTGTGATTTCATGTTGGTGTGATGTATGTTAGTAATTACTCCATTATAATGCATGTATGTATGCGAATGTTGCATTATTGATCACCCTAATCGTAAATAAGGATAATTGAATAATTGTATGGAATGAATCACCTTTTGTTGTATGATTGTGAGAACATACATTGAGATTGTGATTTGTTGAATGGAGTGGGTGTCACGATCCGACACACTAACTTGGATCGGTTGTCACGTACCGACATAAACATTGGAATGAGTGTCACGATTCGACACACTAACTTGGATCGGATGCCACTTACCGGCATAAACATTAGAACGGGTGTCACGATCCATCACACTAATATTTTAGGTATGGGTTTCATGAGAGGACCATTGAATTGGGTTCCGTGAGAGGACCATTGAATTGTGTTGTGTATCTACTTCTGATGATTACGTTAATATCTAATGGTGATTGAGGTTGAAAGACTATTTGTTGCTCTAAAAATGATAACCAATGTGTATTATTGAGAACGTGGAATGCTACATTGATCCTGAAAAGATGACTAATGTTGTATATGTTCGGTATATGCCTGTTTTATAATGTTGTGGTTACATGCATATGTTTCACTTATTGGGACGCGTGATCCTACCAGTACACTGTGATTGTGTACTGATATTGCACTTGCTTGTTCTTTGTTAAGTACAAGGCATCTTCAGGCGGCTATTGATAGGCCTCAACTAGGTGACTATTGAGCGTGACCGGATTCAAGGGTGAGCCAGTTCTTTCAGGCTGCCATGGATCTTTCTTGTTTAAGTCCACTCTATTCAGACTCAGACTATTTGTTTAAGGTGTTTGTTTAGTCTCGGGGTTGTACCCTTTGTTCTTAGACTTGTCGTTAGTAGAGTTTTAGTACAATGACTTTCAGGTTCTATGGGTTGTTCTTCCGTATTAGTTTGGATAGTTTGTTTAAACCTTGGAGTTTATGGGAACTCTATATGATTTATGCATTTAAACCTGCTTCTGTATCTTTAAATATGTACTATTTTGGTTAAGTCTGCTTAGTTAGGTTGTAGTAATGGCTCTCCCACCGGAGGGTTAGTGTGGGTGTCAATCACGACAGTCTGGATCGTGACATATATAATTGATACACATCTTGAAAATGACAAAAAAATTCATTGTGTATATCTGAATATTGAAGCAAAAACAATAAAGCAAGAAAAAGTAAGTACTTTTGCTTTAAAATTATCTTATACTAAATATTCTTAAAAAATATACAATGAATATTAATTAAATGAGACGATCAAAATAGGGACCTTGTGATTTTTTTACAAACTCAGTGTGTAGCTAATGATAACTTGAGGGATTTTCATAAATATCTATAGTTTGTCATACTACTATTTATAGCAATAATTTGAGAGAGCCAAACGAGATTATGAGAGAGTAATGAGAGAGGTGAGTGAAAGTTTTGGAGAGATGGAGAGGAGAGTTGCTAGATACATGTTGTATTCGACGAATATAACATGTATCAACGAAAATGTTCTGATGTATATAGATTGATACAAGTTGTATTTGATACTTAAGGCTATTAGAGGGAGGAGAGAGACGAGTAAAATTAGGAGAGAAAAAAAATGATTGAGGTTGGGAGAGAGAGAGAGAGGAGAAAGACGGGTGAGATTGGAGAAGGGGAAAAAAGACGAGCAAGAATTTGGAGCGAAAGAGGAGAAATACTAGATACGTGTTGTATTTGACGAATATAAGTTGTACCAATATGAAGGCTATACCTATATGTAGCAATATGGAAGATATATCTCAAATATGTGCAATATGTATCAATATAGGTTGTAATTGTATCAATATGTATCAATACACATGGAGGCTGTATCAATACATATTGAGGTTGTATTAGTATATTTTGGAAATTATAACTTAGATATGTTCAATATGGAAACTATACCTCAGATATGTATCATATGTTGTGTTAATAGATTTCGATACATATATAAATATGAAAATTGTATCTCAAATATGTAACAATACATATAAAAGTTGTATCTCAAATATGTAACAATACAAAGTGTATGGAGGCCACATTTCAGATATAGGTCAATATAAGTTAAGGAAAAGGCATAGATTCCCTCCTAAACTTGTCTCGAAAAGTCACTTACACGTTTCAACTATCATGACGATCTATTACACACCTTTACTACTTAAAAGTGAATTTAATCTCCCTGCTATGTGCAACACCACTCTCATAGTGTGTGGTGTATTACACTTGCTGCCATATCAACACTTGTATTTTTTTACTTTCTTTTCTTTATTACTTAACTTTTATTTTATTAATTATATTTTACACTAATCAATTCCTAATCAATTATTAAAATTCTCTAATAAATTCTATCTTCTTCATTGCAAAATGGTAAAGAAGAAACTTTTAGCAATGACCACCAAGGAAATT